TTTTTTTTTTTTTTTTTTTTTTTTTTTTTTTTTTTGGTACCGGGGATTGAACTCAGGTCCTTGCACTTGCGAGGCAGGCCACTGAACTGCTGAGCTAAATCCGCACCCCTGGACTTCTTATAAAAATGCAGGTTCAATCCATGGTACCAAAAAAAAAAGAGAGAGAGAGAAATGCAGGTTTCTGGCCTCTGGCGAAGATCTCAGAATCAAATTATCTAGGCATGGGGCCGGGAAATCCATAAGTTTTTGTAGTGACATCAAGTGTTTCTTAAGTACATTAAAGTTTAACAAATACCCATGAGGCATTTACTTTAAAGTCTAAGTTGATGCAAGTTGTTCCTTATCCCCGACAGTTTCACCGTGGAACAGAGCTCATGGGGCCCCTATGTCACTTCTGTTCAGGGCCTGAAGGCCAACAATAATGACAGAACCTACTGGGAACTCCGGAGCGGGGGCAGGTCACTGAGCCAAGGTAAGGAGGGATGTACCAAAAGGAGCAAAGAGCGACCGTGCCCGGAGCATCCAGGGGTGAAGGCGTGGCTCTTCCGGGGAAGGGACCCCCGGGTGGGAAGAGATAGGTCCCACTATTTGGTGGCTCAGGGAGCAAACCATGGGCCCAGTTGTCTTCCTTCTTCTTTTCAGGAGTGGGTAGTTATGTTGTCCACGATGGAGAAAGTTTAGAGATTCGCTGGAGCAAATATTAACAAACTCAGACCTTCGTCTCATGGACTGCCACATAGAAATCGCGCCGTCCTTGGCATCTACCCCAGTCCCAACAGGACAACCAGCAACCGCCCCATCTGTCTCCCATGTTCAATAAAGACCCACTGGTGTACAAAAGAGCGTGTCCTGATCCCTTCGTTTTTTCAAGTTCTTAGGGGGAAGATCGCCTCAGGAAGAAGTGAAGCGAGAGGGAACTGACCACACGTCTGATAAACTGGGGAAATGGAGACCAAGTTCAAGGTCTGATGTTTCAGCAGCAAGCACTGAGATAACCAGAAAGTTTGTGGGGAGACAGCTCCGAGAAGGAGGAGGCCAGTTGTCACGGTGACTTCCTGCAGGCAGTGTGTAGGAGCAAAGGAGCTGCCTGAAACAAAGGGAAGACGAGGAAGCTTACGCATAAAAAGTGCGTAGTTTGAGGAACGATGCCACCCACTTCCTCAGCTGTCGTGGGAAGCCTTGTTCTTCTCCCGAGTTTATTCTCCTCTTACTTCCCAATAAAAGCCAGCCTGATAGTCATGGCAGAAAATATATATGCAGAAAGTCAAAGCTAACTGACAGGCCCATCTCCCCACTTAGCACTGTTGTGGTGAGATAACAAACAGTGAACGCTCTGGGCAATTTGGAAATACGCAAGACATGACTGTTAATGCGAGTAGCATTTACAATTATTTCCTTGCGGTTCTCGTTTAGTGTGCTGATGTAGGGTCCTCATTTGTACCGAATGTGCCATGTTGGTGGGGGTTGTCGGTAATGGGAAGGCCACATAGGCGTGGGCACACGGCAGCATGCGGATGATCTCTGTGCCTCCCTGAGTTTTGCTAAAACTAAAGCTGCTCTTAAACTTAAACCTTTATTTTGCTCTTAGTTTGTACTCAGCCTTACTCGGATGGAGGGGATGGAGGAATAGGTGCAGCGAAGCCGTGTTTAGTACAAGGTCCTACCAGCCTCAGTGGATGTGGGCGTTACGTGGCCTGAACTAAGATTAGTAACATCAACAAGAATGTAAAGGGGGAAGAGGAACTAGGGGAAGAGGGGAAGGGAAGGGGATTAAAAAAAAAAAGCTGTATTATGTACACATACCAACTCCCCAAGATGACTGTAAAATGCATATGCTACAAACATGTACTTGAAAAATTACATGTTTAATAAAAAGTGACTTTTTCCAGTTCCCATTTAATTTTTCTGATTGGATCAAACATCATGCTCTCATGTTATCTAACCCCTCCCTCTAGCACTCCATTTTTAACAGAGAACAGAGTTTCTCCCCACTAAGTAGAGCAGAGTAGCTGCTGTCTGAAAAACACCCTTCATCTCAGAGATAACACGAAGGCTAATGAAGGAGCAGCCCCTTAGCTCTCCACTGACACTGGCCAGGAAAACCCAGTTCTGGCCATACTCGCCTGAAGAGAAGCTCCGGGGGCTTGGGACTGTTGGAATAACCTAGACTGAATCTAAGGAGAGAAAGTACCCATCTGTTGCCACAAGAATGAATCATCGCCACAAATAAACCTTATAGAAGCCGAGAGGAGACATAGAGAAAGACAGAGAGGCAGACAGAGACAGGCAGACAGGCAGGCAGACAGACAGACAGACAGAGAGAACTTTGATACCAAAATGTTATGCATAGGAAATAAACAAAGGGGTGAGTGTATGTGTGTGTGTGTGTGTGTGTGTGTGTGCTTTGATAACAAGATACTAGGCACAGAAAAATAAGCAAATGAGTGCACCCAGTGAACAGTTAACCAAAGTGACAAAACTGCCGGTGAAGAAATGTGTGACTTGCAAGCTGCTGTTGTGGGAGCCGCCGTACTTGTTAAGTGGCAACCACTGTATCTGTCGTGTGCTGTGGCAACCATGGCTGCAAGTGACAGCCTCAGGCAGTGCACGGTGAAGAGCTGGGACATGGCAGGTGTGGGTGTCATTTCAGGCCACCCTGAGCAGGAGGCCCGGGGCCCCATGGGCAGCACCATGTGGTTCCTAGTACAGCATTCAGGCCTTGCTCTTGCCATAATGGCGTACATAGCTTATTAACATAAAACAAGAAAAATTTATGATTTTAAAGTTCTGGAGATCAGAAGTCCCAGATGGGTCTCACTGGGCTAAAACCTAGGTGTGGACGGGCTGCGTCCCTTCCAGAGGTCCTGGGGGACAGACCGTCCCTGACCTTCCCTGAGCCTGCACTCCCTGAGTTCTACAGCTCACGGCCCTTTCCATCCTCAGTGCCAGTGACAGCATCGAGGACGAGGACCTCTGTGTTCACCTCCTCCACCTAGGACCCCTGTGGGCACACTGGGCTCACCCAGGTAACCCTAATTTTCCTGTTTTAACATCAGCTCGTTAGCAACTTGAATACTGGTGCCACTTTAATTCCCTTTTGCCATACCTCCTATGTAACCTACAGTTTCAGGTTCCACAGATCCGGACGTACACAGATGGCCAGGGCAGGGATGGGAAGACGGCATTATCCTGTCCACTACTCCTTTGCACGGTGGACATGGTTCCCCACCAAGAGACCCAAACTGTCTTTCTGGTCTTCAATGAAGCACTGGGTACATACAGGGATGACCAAAATATACAATCACAGTTAAATGTGTTGCAGGAAACGACACGTTGCCATCAACCTCCCTCTAGATTCCCCGTCTCTCATTTTGGACACACTTACCCCATCATTCCTGACACTAGAGCAGTTCTGGAAGTCCTTTCACGAGTGTCTTTACCAGGTGTGATAAAAACAATAATAAAAATATAGCGGCTGCTGTTGCCCGGTCCTACCCAACAGAAAGTACAGGTAGCACATAAAACACTGCCCTGTGTCCTCCTCCACCTTATTCACTGGATCTGGCACCATGTGACTTCTGGCTCTTCCACAAAGAAAAAATGACCATGACAGATCAACACTGTGAATCAATTCAAGACCTCAGCGTAGCCGTGAGAGTGCAGGTAAGACACTCACAAAAGAGGACTACAGAGCTGTTGCAGAAAGAGCCCAGAACAATGGCATCGTGTGTTCAAATTGCGGAGGGATGCTGAGGGGGATTGATAGCGAAATGTCTTTTACTATAATAAATGATTTTAAATTTAAACATTTGCTGTATTTCTCAATCACACATCATATCTCGCTGTATCACAAGTTACCCTAAAACTTAACAGCCTAGAACAACATTTCTTATCCTGCAGCTCCAGTGAGTTAGGAATCCAGGGAGGACTTACCTGTGTCCACTGACTTCATCTCCAGGGGAGGAAGGTCTGTTTTTCAGTTCATTCACATGGATGTGATCAGGATTCTCCTCCCCAGATGCGGGCTTCAGGCCACTCTCAGGTGTCCCCACCTCCTGGGCTTCTTCATAACACAGCTCACACCTGGCAGCTTCCTCGGAGCAAGGGCCAGGAAGGGCCAGAGAGCTCATCATGAGCAGGGGGCGGGCAGGCTTCGTGACTTGGGCCCATCTCTCTTGCTGCACACCACTCCTCATAGTTAGACCAGCCACCCACGCTACAGAAGGGGACTCCTGGGGGTGACATAGGTGACAAGATTAGGATACCCCAATATACCCCTACCTCACAAAGCTGCCTATGTTCTCTGAGAAGGGAAAAGGTCTTTTGTGTTTGTTCAGGCATTCATGCAAGCAGTCACAAGTGCTGAGGCCAGAGAAGCGAGCAAGTCCCCTCCTCCTCGGAGAGGACATTCTGGAGAGCAAGGAGACAGATGATAAACAGCCACACACAGTGTAACTCAGTGTAGCAGGTACAGGGCACGGAGGGCAATGGGGTGGTGGAGAGGCTGCCTTATTGGCATGCGCTGGAAGCTCTTTCTAATTGTTCCCCTCGGGCAGAGAAATTAAGAAAGCAAGCAGCCACCAAAAACTTTGGTAGAGCGTTCTGGGGACTCTCACACGCAAAGGTGTATAAAGGTTCCAAGGAACCCAAGAGGGTCATCTGGCTGGAACAGAGTGGGCAGGAGAGAACGTGGTTGGAGTGGCCCAGGGGCTGTGAGAGGGTCTGTTGTCATCATGGCCTTGGTTGCATGCACAGCCTTAAGTCTCTCCCAGGACTGGATGTTTAGAAGTCACCTCTGAGACATTATCAGAAGTCCTTAGGTAAACATAGATAACCAAGCGGAAAGTCACGGCGTCGGGAAGGAGGGGTCAGCACAGGTATTCAGAAGCTGGTGAAGAGCAGACTGCTTTGTGAAGACAAGCGCTCGTAAGAGAGGGCAGAGAAACGCTCACAGGGAAGCACTGCTGTCTGCGAGCAGGGAGGCAGGCGCGGGACGGGAGACTGACATGGCCTGGCTTGCCCTCCTCCTCCTGAGCTGTCTGTGGGCTCTCGCTGGGACCTCTGCCCGGGTCAGAAGCTCCTGCTGTGAGTATGGCGCTGGTTCTGGAACAACAGAGGCCCTGGGCCAAGGCAGAGACCTCAGGCACCAAGGTCTGCTGGTGAGAAAGGGCTGAAATCACTGTCACGTGGGCGTCCCTGTGCAAGTAAGTCGAGGCAGGAGCCAGTGTGACATCATCTTTCCCAACTTAATAGAACACGTTCCATGGGAGTCAAAACGATGGGTGTTTTATGAAGGTTGGACTACTCTTATGCAGGAATGACAGCTGCTGGGACAAACGCTCAGTGGCTCTCGATACCAGGACCACTAGGAGCAGGAGATTTTGGTGCTTGCTGGGGACAGATCAGTCCCAGACCTTCAGTATTATTCACTGAAGACAGAGTGGGGAAGAGGCAATGAAACCCATCTCTAAGGGAGCTCTAGAAACCACATGTTATGCCAGTGAATCATATGGCTTCAAGTTAGTAGAATGGGGTGTTTGAGAAGAGGCGAGGGATAATTGGCTTACAAAGAAAAACCACAATGTTTTCTGCATTTCTCTTTAATCGCTTAGGACACCAAGGCTAAGTGAGACAAGTAAAAGGCCTGGGAATCCTGTTTCTAAGACGGGAGGTGAGGGATTTGGTGAATGCTTTGTCTTCTCAGCTGTCCCCTCTGGAGAACAGCCCTGGGTTGATGCCATACAAGTGCTCATGGAGGACTCGGTGACGGTGTCTGCCCTCCCCAACCCCAGCATCCTGATCGCCATGAACTTGGTGGGACCCTACAACCTGGAGGCCCGGGAGCTCCTGACTAAGCAGCTGGTGGCCAGTGACTCCGCTGGTGAGAATCCCACATCTGCGCCTGCTATCCGCATTTACACCCCCGCCTACCGCTCCCCTGCCCCAGCTCTGTGCCACTCTCTCCACACCAGCGCTACCGGGATGGTACCTTTCCCTGCACACCTGGAAAGACCTAGAGAGAAATGTGTGAAGCCGGAGCGTCCAGGGAGGAGGGCAGGGAAGAAGAAAGGGCAGAGATAGACGTGAGCCAGCAGCCTTCCCGTGCACGCAGCCCCTCCTGACGCTCTTCCCCGCCTTTCCCTCCGGGAATGCTACGGACTCTTCTACTCCCGGCAATGTCGATGACAGCAAAATCTATTCCAAGTGCTTCAGAGTTAGATAACACAGTTGAAATTATCTTGTAACTATGGATTTCCATTTGATGGGTATCCTTTGCTGCTTTTCTAACCAGATACACTAGGGATTCCTGATGGGGTCATCACGTCACAGAAAAGACCCTAGATTCCATATTCCTTGAAGTACATTTCCTTTTTTTTTTTTTTTTTTTTTTTTAAACCCAGAGAAGATCAGCAACCACAAAATGTTGGCTATAATTTTCTGCAATTTGTCACATGCCCTCTTCAAGCCCTGGTGAGATGGCTTTCTTTTGTTTTTAAGCATCCCAGATGATAGAAAGGTAGTTCGGGCAAGATAAGAGCACACTGGAATTGTCTTTCAATTCTTTAAGCCTGGAGGCTACATTAACTTACAGGCCTATTTTAATTTTATTTTCTTAATACGTTTTTTTTTTTTTTTTTTTTTTTTTTGAAAGACAGATCAAAAACTTACGTGAAATAGGGAGGGGTGGAGGGAGTGAAAGGAGGGCAGAATTATGGGGAAAAAATAAGAACCAAGATACATCATGTAGGGCCGGGGATTTAGCTCAGTGGTTCCACCACCTGCTTGCCAAGTGTGCAAGGTCCTGAGTTCAATCCCTGGTACCAAATTTCTTTTAAAAAAAGAGAGATACATCATGTAAAGCTTCATGAAATGAGCTTAATGAAAAAAATAAACAAATAAACGTATGTGAATGCACTATTTAAAAATCAAAGCAATTCTGAGATGAGAGCAGGAAGCTCCGTCCCTGAGCACCTTCCCTCCCTCGCTGTCCGTCCCGTTTGTGCCTCCGCAGACCTGACCGTGGGACAACTTGCCCTCACCATCATGGCCCTCAGCTCCTCCTGCAGAGACACCGAGAGCAGGGTGTCGGCGCTGCGAAGAGAGATGGAGAGCTGGACGCCTCCGGGTGAGACCTCCTGGGGACGGAGAGGCTCACGAGGCACAGGGCCCTCGCCGAAAACTCGAAACCCAGAAGAAGGGTGGAGGTGGGAAGTGGAAAGTTAGAGAGGAGACGCAGTGCTCCCTCCGCTGCCCGTCTCAAGAGTGAGGGTTCATCACCCTGCCCCTCCATTCCATCCAAGTGCCAGGTGACACTCCTCTTCCCAGGGTCCCAGAGAAGCAACCCCTCTCCGCCACTGTGCCTTTCTTCCGAGTCAGGAAGTTGCAAAGCTTTGGTTTTGCCCATTTCACAAATGTCCCTGTCATGATGAACATTTTTCTAGGAAGTGTGTGTGTGTGTGTGTGTGTGTGTGTGTGTGTGTGTGCGCACGCGCTATCGGGAATCTAACTCAGGACCTTGGGCTTGCGAGGCAGGAGGTGGAGCCACTGAGCTAAATCCCCAGCCCCAAATGTACCAGGAATATTTTCCATGAACATTGTTCTAACGCAGATTCTCTACACCACCCCCACTCCAGCCCCCAGCGAGGAAACCATAGCCTTCTATTCACCCAGTCTGGTGGTCTTGGCTCTATGCCAGAAGAACTCCGAGGCCACCTTGCCCATAGCTGCCATCTTTGCCAAGGCCCTGCTGGCCAACACCTCTCCTTTCCACGTGGGTAAGTGAATCGCCACCACCAGGCCCTGGGCCACCTGCCGGAGCTGGTGGGGAACACAGTCCCTTTCCGTGGGGGACCTGAGAGCCTGGAATGAGTCTGGATGGGGCAAACTCCACAAATGTTTGTTGGACGTGTGGCTTAAGGAATATGTGAGAGGCAGGAGACCAGAACATGCACAAGCAAGGGCAGCACTTGAAAGGTCTGCAAGCTACAAAACCTCCCCCGGGACGAGAAGCTCACCACTCGAGTCAGAAGGTTTCTTCCAAATTAAATAGCGAATTCATCAAGTCAGTTGACTCTTGCTTCCACCCCTGCCCTGCACCATCTCTCTAATTGCTGCCCCGCTTCACCCTCTACTCCCCTTGATGCTTCTCCTTCTTTGTCCAAACGTCCTCTCTTGTTTCTATTAATCTGCTGCCATTGGAACACTGAACCCTTCCCGAAGCACGGGGACCTCCGCTTCCTTGGCTCTGCAAGCCTATGACCTCGTGGAATGGAAGCTTTTCCCTCTGCAACGCCACATGCTTCCCACCCGCCTTTCCCTGGAGAACAGCTTCCCCCAAGGGTCGCCGCCAGGGCCCGCTCCTGGGACCCCTGCTCCTCCTCTCCTGCTCTCTGAGTGGCAGCGTCCTCTCGCGCTTTCAGCCCTTGCGCACACCTCCTCAGAAGCCCCTCCGACGAGCGGGGAAAGGTACTCCAGCCCCTTCCTCTGGTCACGAAGAGGCTCCTTCCCTTCCGGAACTGCGCACGCTGCTGGGGCATCTTGGCCAGTTCAAGAAGTTTGGACTCTTTGAGTTTGGGTGTCAGTACCATTACTGTTCTTAATGAATTATGCGACTTTCAGCTTAGGGTCAGTGGGTGGGGGGGTCGATGGAATAGGAGATGCTGTCTGGCAAAATTCTCATTTATTCTGGCCTTGCCTCCAGGCTTGCTCATCCAAAATGTCTGTTGTGTACAAGTGAAGAAAACGTGTCTTTGCTGGGTGCCATGGGGTGCTACAACCCCACCATCCAAGCGCTCACAGAGCACAGCACAGAGTGCTGAGGTGGCCAAGTAGATATAAAAACAATGCCATCGGAGTTCAGGACAGAGGCTGTACGTGCCGGGCTGGAAAGACCAGCAAGGCTTCGGGGGGGGGGCACTCAGGCCTGCAAGAACTCTCCCATGAGGAGAGATAAACGCTGGGACAAGAGATGTGGGGTTGAGCACACTGCCATTCTTCATTCATTAAAAGCACGAGTTGCTGAGCTGCACAGATCTGGATTCAAATTCTGCCCCTGCCACTTTTTGGCCATGTAGCCTTGAGCAGCTACTTAACTCCTCTAAGGCTCCATTTCCTCATCTCTTAAACTATTCAGAAGCTATTTCACAGTGTGTCCTGAGGGCGAAATGGATCTCTGGACTAGAAGCAAGGGGCATGTGACAAATGTGGGCTGCTCAGTTATGCAGCCGGTGATGGTGGTGATGGCCCTGCCCTGTCCCCCATGATTCACAGGCACCGGAGCAGTGGCGACCTTGGCTCTCACGTGCATGTACAACAAGATGCCCATAGGCTCCGGGGACAGTTACAGATCCCTGTTCAGTCAGGTACTGAAGAGCACTGTGGAGAATATCAGCAGGAGGATCAGAGACAATGGCATCATCGGAGACATTTATAGCACTGGCCTCGCCATGCAGGTAAACCCACCCTGGCTGCGCAAGCCTGGACTCTGGGATCAGCAGACCAAGGGTCTAACATCTCTGGGAGACCCCAGCTAGTGCGACAGGGTGCAGATCCTTGGGGTGCCTGGGGCCTCCATGTCTCCACTGGTTCCTTCTTCCCTGGCTCACGGGTGAAGTGTGAAAACAATCTTATGTGAATGAATTTTCCTTCCTTGGAAAAAAAATCTCCAAGAAAGCTTTGGTTTGTTATTAATAATAAGCCGGGTGTGGTGGCACACGCCTGTAATCCCAGCACTCAGGAGGCTGAGGCAGGAGGATTGCTGTGAGTTCGAGACCAGCCTGGGCTACATAGTGAGTTCCACGTCATTCTCAACTACATAGTGAGACCCTGTCTCAAAAACCAAAAAAAAAATTATAAATAATAAACAAACCAGTAGTAATCAATAGAGACCTTTGACTGTTTTACGTATAAATAATGATACTGAAGCAATCCTTAAAAACGCTGAATTTTTTTTATTCAGGCTTGCCAGACCAAATGTCCTTTTTCAACCCTTCATCGTGATCTAGAAAAGCAGGTCACTTCAGCGTGGGTCATGAGTGAGGACGGAGATCACTGACGAAGTCTGTCCCCGACAGATAGGTGTGGGCCGACTCCTAGCTGAGCCTGGTTTCCCCATCTCTCTCCTCCCGCTCCCAGGCTCTCTCTGTGACGCCTGTGCAGCCCGCCAAGGAGTGGGACTGTGAGCAGACGATACGTGTCGTGATTGAGGAGATTAAGCAGAGAAAATTCCAGAACCCCATGTCCATTGCTCAAATCCTCCCTTCCCTGAAAGGCAAGACCTACCTGGACCTGCCCCAAGTGACCTGTGCTGGTGGTAAGAACTCTTTCAACAGTGTAACTTCTTCTGTCCAGAAGCAGCAGATACGCCAAGGAGGAAGGGTGGCTCAGGCTGAGGGACATGCAAGCCTGCCGTGTTACCGGACTTCCGATCCCCAAAGTGCATGCACACACAGCCAATCACCCAGCCCTCAGGACTCAGCCTCCCGTCCACTGCATTCAGCGTTCATGTCCTGAGCACCTGCTGTGGGCAAGGGCTGCTGTGGGGTACTAGGGCAGGGATGCCCATGTTCCCAACAACAAAACAGCTTCTTTCATTCTCTTGACAGATATGCCACCAAACAGTACGCACACCACATGGCGTCTGCTCTTAGCAAAGTAGGAGATAGATCCACATACAAAGTGCTACAGTGTTTGGAATGATTAAGTGGATATTAAACATAAATTAAATCCACACACAGAACAAAAACGTCAAAGCAAGTAAGGGCCAATTCTTGATTTTATTTGGGAGCCTTAGCAGAATAGAGATGGCATTTCAGCCAAGCCTTAAAGATCTAATTATGAAAGCTTGGTCTTCCTAGAGCTGCAAAGGGATGGGGTAGAAATATAGCATCCTACTTTTTATTTCAAAATATCTTTATTTTCTACAATTATAAATGTAATAGCAAAACACTTAAAACTCAAAGATTGCAGAAATAGACATTTAGAAATTAGGAAATCTTCACAAAGATTGAACCACTCCAGAGCTAACTGTTTCTCTAAATTCTTTCTAATCACCTACTACTACGTTGCTCACTGACACTGCATGGACTGCTTAAGACAAGGAAAAGAATTATAAATTTCTTGTCTATCACAATGCAAGGTCTACAGAGACCAAAATCCAGCAAACTGATCTCAGTCATATCGAACACTACCAGATCCACCCACCTCCGTAGCCTGCTTCCCAGTGATTTCCCTACATTACCCAGAGGGCTGGCAGCTTTGCCAGGGTTCCGCTCGGCTGTCCAAGTACCGTGGTAACCGCTCGGAAATGTACTGCCTGCACAACCTCCTTTCTGGGGTCAGTCCTCACTCACAGAGGTTTTGCATCTATCACAGAAGCCCCCGGTCATGTCGGAAAGACTCCGTCTCTGTTTTTCACAGACCAGGAAGTGCCTCCAGCTCTCCCCTCCCACCCCACCCCGGACCCCACCTCAGCATCCAACATCACAGTGATATACACCATAAACAACCAGCTGAGAGGGGTGGAGCTGCTCTTCAACGTGACCACGGAGGTCAGTGTGAAAGGGGGCTCGGTGCTCCTTGTGGTCCTAGAGGAGGCCCAGCGCCAAAGCCCCACATTCGCGTGAGTGTCACACGTGGTGTTCACCACGCTTCCCAGGCCTAACCAAATCCCACGCCCTCTCCTCCCTTCATTTCCTTACGATTTTTTCCTTCCAGCAAGTGACCAGGTTTTTATCCGACAGCCTCTTGAAGAGCTTGCAGTCTAGTAAATAGAAAAGACTTTCATGAAAAATTAAATCACACAACTCAATACAGAGTTGCAATAATTGAAATACAAAGGAAAGAGACTGGGTTGGGAGAGTGGAAGGAGGGTCCCGGGCTTTGGACAACAGGGCTTCTGTGCTGTTGAGGAAGATGTGGGCCAGGTTCACGGCAGGAAGAAGGGATGGCTATCAAGTAGCACGGGGTGGCAGTGAGCAGGCAAAGTGGGGTCGGGGAGGAGCCAGCGTCGCTAGACGAGAACACAGGATGAAGAGAAAGTTGGTGATACTGTAAGAAGCCTGAAACCCCAGGGTCGGAGATTCACCTTCTTGTTGCACTGCAAGTTTTCTTTTAATTTATCCATTAGTGTGTGGGATACAGAGTGACTTCTTTCACTGTGGGCATTTGGCGCGTGCGCTTGGCACATCTTAGCGTCCCCTCCCCTCGTGTCCGTCCCTCCTTACCCATCTCTTGACCCTCTTTTCATCTGCAGTAGATCTAGCTCCTTGCTTCCTTTTATCTGTCATTTATTTAGCTCTTTATTTGGTCTTTGAATTTCTCACATGAGAGAGATTATATGGTTCTTAAACTTGCAAGTCTGATTTATTTCACTTAACATTATGTTTTCCAGGTGCATCCATTTTCCTACAAATGACTCCATTTTGTCCTTCTTTATAGCAGAATAGTGTATAAATACCACCTTTTCTTTGTCCATTTATATGTCTGTGAAGCTTCTACACAGCAAAGGAAACAGTGAATAGGGTGAAGAGACAACCTACAAAATGGGGGGAAATGCAAGCTAGTCCTCAAAGCGGACTCCCTATCAGGGAGAAGGAAAACACAGAAATAAAGCACAGAGGAGGACATTAAACTTGGGGGAATGTTTATAGTTTGCAGACAGAAAAAGCAACAGAGAAACATGAGAAATTCTCAGTTTAGGAGGAGTCGGGAAAAGGGGCAACTTGTGGAAAGGAAGTGATTTAATTTTCATATCCTCCAAATATACTTACTTCTTTGGCCTCACTTTAGTGTTACCTGAATTTCCTTTTCTAGATTGTAAATATAGGAAATACGCATAGTAAAACTTTAGAGAAAAATTATTAAGAACAAAACAAATCATCTACAGTTCATTCACAATAAAAGAACTGTTAATTTTTAAGTTTTATGTTTTTCTATGCATAATACAAATAGTTGTGATTCATCATCTGCATGGAACAGATATTTCTGTAAAATAGGCATCCCATATTTTCATGTAACATACTGCATAGTGCTTTCCCATTTTATTGAAAATTATCAAAAATGTATTATTTTTGCAACTTCAAAATTTTTTGATTTCAGATTCTCATTCTATCACTCAACTATTTTTCACCCATTCTTAGGCATTTACACTTTTAATGTTTTTTTTAAATTATTCATTTTAATGTCATTTAATACCAAGTAAAGTAATTTCATATCTATTAGTCTTTTGCATTTTTCACCTTTGACAAGCTTTTTCCTGATCTTTAAAGCATTTAGAGTCACTCTGTCCCTTCGTTTTATCCTCTGTGGCCTGACCTAAAGTGAAGTGTTGATCATATATGATTTTGTGCTTAGATTTGAAACAAGAATGACGTCTTGGGGACTTATGGTTTCTTCTATCAACAATATTGCTGAAAATGCTAACCACAAGACCTACTGGCAGTTTCTGAGTGGCGGGACATCTTTGAGTGAAGGTAAAAAAAGAAGAAAGATCTTTTTTCCAGAGTCTGGAGAATTTATTGATTCATTTAATCAGTAAATAACAGTCAGATTGTATATCTAGTTACATATATATATATATATATATATATATATGAGTTATGTGTGTGTGCACCATTTTCAGGTAGAGAGATCAACTCGGTATTAGTGATTCTTTTGACAGAGAAGAAAACTGTCTTTAGGACTTCTGTATAGGGTGAATCTAGCATATGATAGAAAAGACAAATAAATTCAGGTTTTCAAACTCCAGGGTGCACGTACTTTCTACCATAACATCACAACATTCACTCTTTACCTTCTTTTCTCGTGTTATTTTTAAATCACTAATTAAAGGGGTATCTGTGCCCGCATGTTTGCATAGAGGAAGTAGAATAAAACTCAGGCCCCAGCCAAATCTTAACGTTTCTGCAAATAGTAAATAGCCTCCAGCTTAAAGAGCACTGTTGTAGGGCTCTGTCTGATGGTGATGTGAACTAGTCCGGCCGATGTCAATGTCACCATGTGGAGAAAATCAAAGGCAATCAAGTCACAGCAGAGCTGAGGCCGTGGCTTCACACCAGCCTTCGTCACCCAACCTTACAATGCAGAGCTGTTTTTCTTAGCATCTATCACACAGTTTAACAAAACCTGGTGACTTCAAACTTGTAGGATTTCAGCAAAGTGTATAAGAGAGATCTTGGAGTCACGCAAGGCTTGAAGTTCCTCTTTTTATTTACAAATTACATTATTCAAGTAATCTATCATCCCTGGGCCTCAGTCTCTACAGCTATAAAATGGAGATAGCAATAACCATTCCCTGCATTATTATGAAGATTAGAAATAATGCTTTTAAAATTATTAATTTAGTGGCTTTTGCATGGGATATGTTAAAATGCTTATTTTTTATTAGTTTTAATTTTTCTACTACCTTTCTCAAGAGATTGCCCTGGGAATTTAGGCTTATTTTCATGTCTGCCAATTACTTCTCTTCTCTAGGAGAAAGGCAGGTAAGGAGAGATCTCTGAGATGCAAAAAATATTTGGGCCTGAAACTATCATTCTTTCTGTTGCCTGAACTACATAAAAAATAATAGATGATGCCAGGGATTTAGCTCAGTGGTTCCAGCGCCTGCTTTGAAAGCACAAGGACCTGAGTTCGATCCCCAGTACAAAAAAAAAATGATGTCATCACTAATCTTTCCCATCCTGAGAGATAAGAGTTGTCAACCCACCGCCCTTCCTTGTTTCTCACAAAATCAAAAATGAATGTGAGATACAACTTTGAATGCTCTTATTTTGGCCTAAATAAGCCATTTTAATAATAATTTATCTCACAACTTCTATGTGTTCGGTACCATACTAGCCACCAGCAATTATTACCTCTAATCTTGAAGATAAGTCTTCAGAAAATATATTATTGACAAAACTCCTATGTTTTATGGCTGTGTCTAGATGTCCCCCCAAAGCCTCATGCAGTCATAGGCGGGGCTTTGCAGAGGTGGCTGACTCTAAGGTGTGATTACTAAGTTAATCCACTGATGCTTTGGCATAGTTCTGCTGTAATCAAGGATGGGACGCTGGGATTGATTCCTGGTGCAATGCTAGGTGTGAGCACTACCCACCCTAAGGGCAGGTAGCCTGGTTAAGATATAAGGGACAGGAAGTGACTTGTCACTTGTCGCTGTTCGTTCCCCTGCTTTTGCTGTCTTCTGCCTGCCATGAACTGTTTCTCCCCTGCAGTGCCCCACTCCACGTCACCCTACCTTGGAGCCCATCAATCATGGACTAAACCTCTACAAACCGTGAGCCAAACAGACCTTTTCTCCTTTAACTTTGGGCGTCAGGTATTTTTGTCTCAGCAAGGAGAAAAGTAACTAAGACACTATGTGAGGGGAAAGAGGCTGGCACATCTGAAGGGGCTCACCTACACATGCTCCTCTAACTGGCAACCTAGAGACGGAAATAAGAACGCTGTGAATGTCAATTCCATGTTTCTTCCCAACTAATCACACTGCTTCTCTCTCTCCAGGGCTGTTTTACCCCTCCCGCATTTAACGGGCTGACCCTATGGGTAGAGATGGTGCCATTCGCCATGGTCACCTCAGGTTATGCTCTGCTTCTCTCTAGGGGTCGCTGAGTACGTACCCTTCAACCATGAACACATCACAGCCAACTTTACCCAGTACTGAGAAGGACGTGGGTGCTGCTTGTGCTGGACACCTTCTGAGGATGGGAGAAGAGTTTTCACTTTATTTCAAATCTCTGCAAAAGAGTGGATGTCTATAGTGCTCCCCTGCTCCTGGTTAGAACACAGAGAGCTTATATGAAATCAGTGATGCGAAGCTCCCTGAGGTCCCAGCATCTGTGACTACTGAAAATAAAATCAGCATCGGAATGCAGTGACTGCCAGTCGTCATTTAACCCTAGGGCTTCGATGGCGAACCTTTTAGAGCTTTCAGTGATACAGACAGCCTGCTGAAGAATGTGTGCCAGGGGTTCGTCACCATTGCTCTAGGGAGATGGGGAGGGGGTGCCCCAGCAATATTTTTGGAGATCATTCTGATCTTTACGGATTTAACTATCCACTCCTTATTGCTCCAAAAAAATTTGTATTTTTGTCTATTTGTTTTTGAGACAGGGTCTCACTAGTTAGCCCAGGCTGACCTTAAACTCACCATGATCCTCCTGCTTCAGCGTCCTGAGTGCTAGGATTACAGGCATGAGCCACCACACCTGGCAATATATTTTTTAAATCTCCTATTTGTGTTTCTTATGCCAAATACCTCTTTCTAAATCAAATTAATGGAAACATACATCCATACATAAAAATATACATCAAATAACCAAAATTATTTTATATGAAAACTCTCCAATGGCTCAGAAGTTAATAAATGATGTCCTAACTCCCTTTCCCTTTCTAATATTTTTTCTGGGTAACATCAATTTTTAAGTTTTGTTTTTTTTTGTTTTTTTTTTTTAAGGAGAAAGGATTTAATTCAGCTCACAGTGTGCAGAAGTTTCAGTCCCTAATTGGCTGATTCCAAGGCACAGTAGCATGGAAGAGAGCATCACAGAGGAGAAACAGTCCATAGCAGGCAGAAAGCAGCTTAAAGTATATTATTATATAATTTCAATATACTTATATATGAATATAATTATATTTTATGTAATATGTAGTTTAAATAGTGTATTTTAAGTATTAGATACAGATCTTTCAAAAATATTTAAGCTTTCAAAGGCAATCATAACTATAATCCATGATAGGAGTCAACATTGGTACAAATTTCCTAGAGAGAGATATGAAAATGTGTACCCAAAAGCCTAACAGAAAGAATTGACCCTCCATGTTCACAAGTCTTACGTCTGCAGATTCAACCAATTACATATCAAAAGTATTTTTAAAAAACTAAATCCGTAATGAATACGTAGATTTATTTCTTGTCATTCTCTAAACAATACAGTATAACAACTACTCACATGGTATTTATATTTTATTAGGTATTATAGGTAATCTAGAGTGAACTGAAGTGTACGGAAGAGTGTGCATAGGTTCTCTCCAAATGCTCTGACAGCTTTCACAGGGACTTGATCATCCTGAGATTTTGGAGTCCCTAGAGATTCCAGAAACAATACCTAGGAACAGCCAGACTCAACTCGGAATCAGGAAAATCCCAATTCTTACATTTATACAAAGAGAACAATCACAGAGGACAGGTCGCTGTCCAAGTGTCACACTGGCTGTGCGGTTATCAGGGCACAGGCTTGGTGTGCACTGAAGTGGACAATGGATGTGCTCCAAGTGCCAACCTGCCTCCAGGCATTTGCCTTAAAATGTATTTATGTGCACACACACTGTAAAAATAAAGGAGGCTGTGGTGAGGGAGGAGTGGGGAAATCCGTAAAGTACATGTACCTGCTAGTGTCTTAGAACAGGAAATCACATCAATCTACAAGATACCTATTCTTCTAAGACATTTCTAATTTGTCATATGTTCCCAGTACATTTTCTAGTTGGTTTGTGTTTATCATTAACTCAGGAAAGGATATCTACTCTGCTGAAACACGAGAGACAGTTATGCAGGTTAAGAATTTTTTTAAAGCTATGATCCTCTTGTTTCCCCTGTCCCTGATTCTTATCTTTGGGTCATTCAGCACCAGTAAAATACCTGAGAAGACACAGTCAAAGGGATTTCATTAGCATATCTGATTTTTTTCAAAATGATAGCATAAAATTACTCAAAATACTAAACAAAAATCAAGACCAGAACCACATATACAGAGAAACCTAACATTTCCTCTAGGTTCGCCCCACTATTTTACTGTCACTACTCACACTTTTATACCCTCCCACGAGCATGGGGGGTAAACCCCACAGTGATTAGCACAGTGCCTATAACAAAAATACATATTAAATTAACGATTTCCGTTCCAGTTGGAAAAAATAATTTACAAATATAATGTGAGGAGAAAATCTGGGCTCCAAAAAGATTTCACACAGTCATTCTGTACATGCTAGTAAACATGCTGAATGACTTGGGTGTCTCTAATTAACTAAAAGGTTGTCGGTTTCATCTGTGAAAGGAGTTTGGCCTACAATCCTCGCTAAAATTCTTAGTTTGGAAAAGTTTTAAGAGCGGTATTCTTAAAGATTTCTGGTAATAAGATACTTGCCCAAACATGCTGGATTTAATAAAGAAGAATGAATTAAAGTGTGACAGAACCCTGTCTAACCAAGCGTGGGCCCCTTCCTGCGTGACGCCCAAGCACGAATTTGGTTCCAGTGTCAGAACAATAAAAAGCACTTTTCTGACCTCTACTGGCCAGGGATGATAAAGCCTAAACTTTAGGAGTAGTGAAAAAGCAGAGGGAAGACTGGCAGCAAATGTCTTCACCTGTGCGCAATTTTACTGGCCTAGAACTAAATGCACGAATGACCTACATGAAGGGTGTGAATGAGGAAAGCACAGTTCAGGAATGGAACACAACAGAGTCATTCAGTCCCTTCCAGCTGAGAACCCGGAATTCAAAACAAGGACTAAACCTTAATCTCACTCAAATGCAAATGGCTCTGAGATTAAAACCTCTTGTAGAAGATACAAGAATTCTTCCCAAGAAAATTAAAGTAGAGAGAATAAAAATTAACAAAATGATCCTACGTTTTAAAGAACCAACATGCCAAATACGCTTTTTGAAAGTAGAATACAAAAATGAAAAACGTGTCCAAACACATTAAAAAAAATGAGTAGTAGGTCCGGGGAAGTAGCCCAGCAGCACAGCATCTGCCTTGCAAGTGCAAGGCCCTGAGTTTGATTCCCAGTACCCCCAAAAGATGTGTAGTAAAATGATGACAATTTAAGCAGTGCAGCACCAATGTCAGGCACGGAAATGGAATAAAATATCAAAAGGCACCCAAAAAATTATGTGAGATTTAGCACAGTATAAAGTCACACTTTAAATGAGAATTTTCAACTTGAATAATTATGTTAGATGTCTACCTCAAGCCCTAATAGGCATATTATTCAAATCAATATCATTATGCTCTCTCTCTCTCTCTCTCTCTCTATCTATCTATCTATCTATCTATCTATATATATATATATGCATCAAAACATCTGTAACTCCATAAATATCTACAATTATTATGTGTCAGCAGAATAAAACCTGTAACACTTGCAAAGTTTCTCAGGAAAAAAAACTTAAGAAAATTACTTGGCAGATGTTACTATGGAAAAATGATAAATCATCATCCTTCAAAAAACAAAGTAGCAGACACTGAAAAACAGTGGAACATGTAAAACCACACAGGAATTAATAAACAATACACAAGTAGTTTTGAATTTATAAGAAAACACCAACAGTGCAGTTTAAAAGTAGACAAAGCACAGGCTGCGGATTTAGCTCAGTGGTTCCTGCCTGCCTCACAAGCACAAGGACCCAAGTTCAATCCCTGGTATGAAAAAATAAAATTAAATTAAAATTAAAAAATAATAAAAGTAGACAAAGCATACATGCAACCAGATAGCAAATGCAGAAACAGATAAAAACTTACGAAGTCAAAGGTGTTATTTAAAAAATTTTTGTTGCTGTTATTGGAGACAAGGATCCACTATATAGTCCAAGCTGTCCTTGAACTCAGTGTAGTCCAGGCTGGCCTCAACCTCACAGCAATCATCCTGCCTCAGCCTTCCGAGTGCCAGCATTACGGGTGTGCACCACCATGCCAGACTAAAATATTTCATTAGTCATCATTAAACTGTATGAAAGCTAACTTACAATCAGTGTGTGATTCACCTAAACGGGACTCAGAATGCCATAAGTAAACTTTAGTCCACTTTCATCCAATCAACTCTGAGGCTGGTTTGGTTGTGAGGATTTTTATATTTCATGTTTCGCATTTCCGCATGATGCTTCAATTTAAAAATAAACTTTAAAATTGTGCTGTCACTTCTAGACTTCTTACACCTCAGTGCCTATTTACAACTTTGAACTCTATCCGAAGACAAAGCTGTTCCTCGCCTTCAGCTTAGTCTTGCCCTAGGTAGAGTGATGAAAACAAAATGGAGAAGATGTATATCTATTTCCTCATCTTGTGTTTTTATCAGTCAAGAAAGACTTTGCCTGCCCCAGTCTCTCCTCACTTCCGACCTCCCTGGGGCCTCACCTGCTGTGGTATGAACTGTGTTCCCTCTGTACACTGGAGTTCTAACCTGGGTCCCTCAGCATGCGACCTTATTTGAAGACAGGATCTTCATGTTACCTGGGAGCTAGGTAACACAGCAAGGAACCAGCAACACACCTCAATTCTTCGTCTTCCACAAAAGATCTCAGACAAGGCATGTAGGCTAATGTTCTGGGAAGTGGTGGCACAGGTGATACCATATTTTTCTTTTAAGATAAAATGTTAATGTATGAGTTGTTTTTCCCAAAGTAAAACCTCTATGTCCAGGTTTAATCGCAGTTGGCACTTTGGGATAAATAAGTGGGTTTTGGGTTGCAGTTTGGCACTCTGTCTCTAAAAGGTTCACTATCACTGGTAGAGATTATTATACAGTACAGATTGGGAAAGGATGGATTTTTGGAGTGAGGAGGCCTTCAAGCACGAAGATGGAAGAGTGCTAAAACGACCCTTGCACTGAATGAAGTCTCAGGTTGCATTTGTATGATTGACTGGGTCTTTCAAGGAACATCCTTTCTTTCCTCTGAGGTCATAGTTCTTGTACAAATAAAATGGGCTGTTTGTAGGTCCCTGTTTACTCTGTAGGTGGGTATCTCCAGCCTGGTTTGAGCCCTTGAGGTTTTCCAACCTCCTGCCCATCGTCTGGACTTTCTACAGGCACTGGGTCTTATTAACCCGTTTAGTAGATGTTCCATCCTTTTACACTAATGTTTGAAATCACAAGCTTGTGTGGCTGTTATTTATAGCTAATGATTCAAAAAATGAAAGGAGGCTTTTCAATTAACCCCCAGTCACCAGTCTCCAGCCCGCTGGTGACTAACTTTCTGCCTAATACTCCCAGAAGTCACCAAGTTAAAAACAAGGCCATTAGGGTGATGGGACAAGTTCCACTAACTCTGGAAGCCAGCTAAGGGACCAAATGAATGAAACTGCGAGCAGAATTCTTCCAGGACTTTCCAGCTTTTCAGATGTCTTTGCCATTGCCATTGCAGAAAGGCCACAGAACAGATTTAGTAAGATTTAAGCACAGCAGACATCAGTTCCCATTTGCTAATCCCATTTGTATCCTAGAGGCTTGGATAAAGATCCTTTTTCACTCTAAAGCTCCAGGCCCGTGAAATGACTAATCCACTGTTCCCCTCAAATGATAATTGCACATTATTTCACTGTGTAGGGCAGGGGCCCTGCAGGTAGGGAAAGACAGGGTAAAGGCCTCGTGGAACTTTATCAAGATCAATAAAGAAACTCATTAAAAGCAGTTTCTGCCCTCACGGGTAGACTGCAGCTGGGGTAGCAGGAAGACAGGACGGAAAGCTGGCTGGCGCGGGAGAGGCCCCGGCACCCGCACTACCAGGAGTGCCGGCTCCCTCACCCACCTGACCAGGGCGAGGGGCCGAGGGAGAGCCACAGGCCGACTCTTACTCACCATGGAGGGCACGCTCGTGTGCCCACGGCCATCGGCGCGACGCTGGCCGATACGCACGTGCACACGCGCCCCCGTACCTCGCCGCCCTCCGCTCCACTGACCCGGGACCGAGGGACAGGGAGGAACCAAGCGGCCAGAGGCCCGGGTTAGGCTCAGAGCCGGGGCCGCAGATGAAACGGAGACGAGGCCCCGGGAAGGGAAGACGCTCGTCCCGGCGAGAGGGGCCGGCGGTGACCCCCGGGCATAGCGTCGCCGTCCACCCTCTCTCTCGTCCACCTTTCCCCCAGCGGGGCCGTCCTGCCCTGCTGCCCTTCGCCCTCGCTAGTCCTTCCCGGGGCCGAGTCGGGACACTCGGGGGCCGCGGGAGCCCGGACAGGTGGGGAGGTCTCTCCGCCGCCTTGGCTGCACAAATCACAAGTCCGCGGCGTTTTCCCCCGAGGGAAGGGACATCACGAGGGACTTGCATTGCCGAGAAAATCCCACGCCTTCACAATGTGTGATCCGAAGACAAAACGAAAGGATGCGGACTGTACACCGGACTGCAGACCCGGGCACGACGCGCCCACTCCCGCGCCGGAACCAAGGTCCACTGCTCGAGTTGCTTCCGCTTCCGCGGGGACTCTCTGAGGGACGGACCCGCGGGAGCACAGCTTCCGTCCGGGCGCTGAGGCGTCCGCGTTCGTTTCCAGCCCGGCCTCTCAGCTTCGCTCCTCGCTGGACTCGCTGGGCTCGCGAGCATGTG